ATTTGACTGGCTATAAAATAGAAGTGTGAACATTTTTTATAAAAATAAATCGCAACCTTTTATATCAAAACGAAAACAAAGGACCTCGCACTTTTCATATTAATTTTGAGTAGATACTCTCAAAATCTAATATTAAATACGTTATTGTTTAAGTTATTAAAGGAAACTGCCTTATGGACTGCAATTTTGCAGCTCAACAAAGTGATGTGTTAGAAGGGCTCAAAAATAAGTGCAGAATTAAAATTTTGATATATATGTATATCTAGTACTTTTAAATAAATCATATTTTTTCCATGAAGCCCATGGCACATGATATAGTTACGAGTATATACAGGTATTTAATGCTTAGTTGTGCTTTTAAAAATAAAATAGAGTGTTAAAAAAAATAATAATATAAGTTACTGCAATAGGATGTATTTTCGTGTATTACCATGTTTAGAATATGACTTCTAATTACTTATAGTATAGTAAAACTTCTAATCCGAATCAAATTTTTAAAATAATTATTTGCGGACTTAAAAACGTAGTCCACTAGTTAGTGTAGGTTTTTAAAACATTTGGTATAATAATAATTATATATCATCAATTGCCACTGACCCTGGTAAAATCCTAAATTTAAAAAAGCGTATTATAATAATAAGACATTAATCATATCTTAAATGTTTTAGAAATAAATAAAATGTATTTCTTAAATTATTAGACATATTCAAAATAATTTAAGATTCCTTGCGTTATGTTAATAAAAATTAAACAAAATTTCTCACGAATTATTTAGTATTCTGTCTCGTATACTTTTCCATGTCTCTATTAGCTTCGCTGTCAACAAGTTCTGATGAGGCATATTGCATAATATAAAAATTTTATTTTGTATCTTTTCTTCCCAAAAGCTGTCATTATGAGGAATTTTCTCCACTTTTATTCCTTCAGAAGTCCAAAAGCACAAAAGCACAAAATACAAAAATCCATTTGTGTTACGTGCAGCTAGCCATGAATTTAAAAATATCAATAGTGGTGCTCCTTAACGGTATTCTCCTTTTTCCAAAAAGTTATTTCTCTACTGCATATTTCTTCTTCTACAGTCATATGGACATTTCAACTCTATCATAGAATTTGTTTTTTTTTTATTCTATCCAGACTTGCAGCAACATAATCAAATTCGGATTCAATAAAATATACACATTGAAAACCTTTTTACTGCAAATAAATTTCCAAATCTTATTTTGCTCTGAATTCATGGTCCATACCATATCGGGTGGCTTTAGCAAAAAATAAGAGATTTTAGATTTCTTACAAATTTCTCCAAATTTTAAAGCAGTGACTTGTTTTCTTTTTTTATTGTGCCACAATGCACAATCGTTTTTTCTCACCTATAGACATTGGCTTACATTTTTGGAAATCTTCTCTTGCAACGCGCCTTAAAGAGTGGAACAGATCAAAGCCATGTACGAAAGCAAGAAAAATGATTTACATTACTTTAACGGATTGAAGAGTTGTTAACATGCTGGAAATATTAATTATTGGTAACTCGAAGAAGTATTCATCAAATAAAAAAACCGTATAATAAAAGTTAAACAAAAACATATTTATAATTCACATCTCAGTGTATACCTTTTAATTTCGGATAATTTTTTAATTAAATAAATGATAAAATTAATTTTTAATATAATTGAGCAAAATTACTGTATGTAAAAAATAACAAAATGAATTCAAATCTCTTACATACTGTTTATCACTAAATAGTAGAAAAATATTTATATTTTGTTGGTGTTACCCTCTAGACGAAAAAGCTTTTAACGTATTTCTGTTCTTATTGTAAGAATAACAAATGCTCCTGTAAGCAAAAATTAAATATATTGTTCCCTTCTAGCATTTTTTACCATTTTTATTTCTTTTCGTTTCTTTTTTTAGATTTTTTTCAAAAGAGACTGATTCAAAATTTTAAAGTGACTCCAGAGAGGTACGAGTTTAGCCTTTACCTGTACTTACATAAATTTTCTTTTATTAAAAATAAAAAATAATCCGTAAAATTGGTGTACTATCAATTAAACCCTTGCATATATTATATATGCCAATCTTAGTATCACAGAATTGATTTACGTTAAAAATAGGGTGTACAAATACGTAAAATTTATTTATCCCTCGTAAAACATAATAAAATATATTATAAATTGTTCTCATTCACAAATATTAATTTTTTAAAAATGTAACAGAGGCGCCACTTTCCAGACAAAAATTCGTGCAATGTAAGGGTTTCGCAGTACCCCACTTTTAAAGTTTATATTTGACTATTATTAAAAGAACAAAATATGTAAGTGTAGGTAAAGGTTAAATCTATGCTCTCCTGGAACCACTTTTTTAAAATTCAATTTAGTTTTTTTTTTTAATTGAGAAAATGGGTAAAAAAAAGTCGAGTTTTCTATTTTTTTTTATAAAAAAACTGAATCAAATTTTAAAAAAGTGTCTACAGACTAGCAGAGATTTAACCTATACCTACACGTACATATTTTTTTATTTTAGAAAAAGTCAAAAATGAACTTTAAAAGTGGGGTACTACGAAACCCTTGCATTCTCCTCGCTACAGCCAAGTAAATACTCCTCTTAAATGAATTTTGATGTTACCCAAAATCAATAATAAAAGTGCGGTGTCCTTTCTTAGGAACAGTAATGTTTTAAAAATAACATTTTATAAAAATGAATATATTCATTAATTTTGTATGCATATAAATAATTAGTTAGTTACTTATATAAAATTTACTATTCCTCCGTTATAATATAAATAATATATACCTTTCAATAAAATAAAAACGCGTTTTAAATAAACTTAAATACGAGTAGAATAATTACCTGAATTAATAAATTTAGATCACAACCACTTGACACACAAAAACTAAAAATCCAATAAGTTTGTAAGCCCAGTGCAACACGGAAACCGAACGCAATTTCAACCGCGTTATTTTCTGCAATTTACTACCAAAGCACACACCAATCAAGCTACACTACTGAAATTTGTGTTTCGTTGAACTTCGCGCCCGCTGAAAACGACACTGAAATTTTGGCGTTAGAGCGCTCGGTTTCAAATGGTACAGTACACGCATGTGCGAAACTCTCCACTATCCCTATTTCGTTTTGCCGGAGATATGAAATTTGCAGGATGATGAGTTGAGGGTAGTTAACCAGTGTTCATTTTTTCAATGCAATTTTCATTTTTTATTGGATGCATTGCGGATTCTTGCTTCTTTATTCGCGTTAATTTTACTTCTCCAAAGAATATTTAAAAAGACAATTTAGCCTGCAACGAAAGATTAATTTCCATTTCGCTGAGAAAATCTTTTGCGTTTTCTGAATAAATTTTAGAGAGGTAAAATTAAGTTTAATATAATATAGACCATTCCCTCTTTATTTGATATTTACATAAAATAATAAATATAAATTACATTTTTCAGAAGGTAAGGAGTCAGGTAAGAAGTACTTGTACTTTTAAGCATGTACTACAAAGTATTTAAATGATATCTTTAAAATAGACGCTTCATATGATAAGAAGTTGTTGTCGTCTATATGGTTATTGGAATCCTATACAAAAATATGCATTTACTAAGTTTTTTTTCTTTTTTATAGTTTAATATAAGTTCAATCTTGCAACACTTTTTTACTCTATAACCGATGCACAGAGGGGCTACGTTAGACAAAACTCCCCAAAACTCTAAAATCAAAATTAAGGTAACTGACAAAAATAACCACGGTAAACCTATTGCAATTAATTCTTCTTTTCAAGTCACATTAATCTTGGATTGTCCGCGTGATAAAATAAAGATAAATCTTGTCAAAAATAGCGTGTTAAACACGTATATTACTATAAATTTTTGAGTGCAATTATTATTGATAAATACGGCCTACTCTTTGTGATATAATAATCGAATTAACTTTGAGTCGCAATCTTGTTGGTAGAAGTTTATTATGGTTATTTATAGTTATTGGTCGTATAATAGTCCTAGTTGCTCCAGTATCCACCAACAGTATATACTTTTTGCCATTTACTTCGCCGTCTACGTATACACTATCATCGCGACATTTCAAAGAGGCTATCAGTATGAGAGCGTCTTTGGAACGGTTTCGGGTTGAAGCTGCCCCCTCTAGGCCGACCCGCTCCAGTTTTCCTGCGGCGTGTTGTCTTGATTTGTTGGGACCCTAGGGTGTTTGCACGAACTGCGTACATGTCCCAGTTCACCGCAATTCCAGCACCTGATAGTCTTCGTCTTTATTTTTCTGTCAGTAAGACTCTTCATCATATTTACCAGTTGATCGAGTTTACCTTCTTCTTCTTCCTCTTTTAAAGTCCTTACTTTATTGTATCCACCAGAGGCCTGTGTAGCTGCCTCATATTCAAGGGCAGCGGACAAGACATCGACCAATGTTTTGTGACGGGCTAGACGAAGTGTTCTTTGCATCTCGTGGTCACGAAGTCCATCAACAAAAGTTTGAACTGCCAAACATTTCATCATGTTTTCTGGAGCTAATGGATAAGCAAATCGCACCAACCTGGCAATATCTACTTCATATTCCTGAAGAGTCTCGTCTCGTTTCTGTTTACGATTCTTCAACTGTGACTGGTACAAATGCTCCAAGTGTTCGTGGCCATATCGCATATTTAGTCTCTTTTTGAGTTGTTTAAAATCATCTGTTTCTTCCACGGGTATAGTCTGAAGGACATCCAAAGCGTCTCCTCGAAGGGCGATGGTCAAATTTATTGCCTTCTTTCGTTCAGACCACTCGTTTGCTCTGGCAGCTATTTCGAACTGCTTAAGATAGTTCGTCCATGACATCTTTCCGTCGAAAGTTGGGGTCTTAACACGAGGAGAGTTTACAGCTCCTTCCAATTTCACCTTCGACTCCACCTCATGGCACTTTATTTTACCGTCCTTGGCCGATTCTGTATGTTCGAGTTCTTCTATCTTCTTTTCCATCTCTTTTATTTTCTCTTCAACGGAAGACATTATTTTTTCCTCAACGGAAGTCATCTTATTTTCCACATCAGCAGAAATTTCATTTTTTAGCGAAGACATATCAGAAGAAATTTCATCTTTCAAAGAAGAGATTTTGTTTTCTAAATCGGAAGAAATTTCGTTTTTTAAAGAAGATATGTCAGAAGTCACCTTTTCTTCTAAGGAAGAAATATCGGACGAAACTTTACTTTCTAAGGAAGTAATGTCAGAAGAAACTTTAGTTTCCAAGGAAGTAATATCACTTTTTATAGAAGAAACTTTATTTTCCAATGAGGAAATATTAGAAGAAATATCGGTTTTCATGGAAGACATATCAGAAGAAATATCAGTTTTTAAAGAACACATATCGTTTTTCATATCGGAAATTGAAGAAATTATAGAAGACGTATCATCCGAAAATATAAACGTTTGCGGATTCAAACCTTCATTTTCTAGTGCTTTAAGTCGTTGTGTCAGCTCTGATTTCTTCCCCGTCGTCTCCAGTTCACGTTCTTCTAATTCTCGACGTAGCTCAGGGACTTTTAAGTCACACAGTTTTTTAGCCATTATTGTCCATTTGTCTATTTATTTACACTATTCCACTTCTTGACACCAATGTGATGTTCGTTTATTTTCAAACAACAGTTTATTTATTAATAATTTATTTAAACATTTATTTATTTTAAACAATACTATTTTAATTTATATATACTTCGAATGTCTTTAAACTGATCACTATTTATATTCACCACTGTCTATCTACTAATTACTATTTATCTTCATTGTCCATATATCAACTGATGATGATGGCTTATCCACCAATATTTATATACAAATTGGTGGTCTAGAATGCTCCCCCATCAAAATTGCCAGTATGTACCAGAAACGTTATCACATTCTAGAAATAGTATCTCGTTGACCCTGGAATGTTTGCGAAAGTGTCTCCATTATAGTCGTCCCATAAGTTTGGTCTTAAGGGGTTTAATTATGTATAATAATCGGACAAGTTGAGCCTCAAAGGCCAAATAAGACAGAGAGGGACTTGTAGGGTTAGAGCATGACTGAATAATGAAATGGCTCACATAACAATATATATTTAAAGCATGCGCTGAATGGTTAGAAACTCCATTAATACATATTTTTAACTTATTATTAAAGTATGAAATTTTCCCAGAGAATTGGAAAACTGCGACCTGAGCGCCAATTTTCAAATCAGGTAATGCAACTGATGTATCAAATTACCGATGTGTCTCAATTGTATGTGCTCCAGCAAAATTATTACACTCTGTTCGATATACTTACGCGGGTTTCGGATTAAAAATTGTATGAGTATTTCCAGGTATGTACCCGAAAAAGTTTAACTTGTTCTTTGGGGAAATATCAACTGGTTAAATAAAATGAAAAATAATGTACAACTTTTTAATTAAATAATAATGGAGAATCTTTTGTATAATTGAGAGCAGAATTAAACTTCTTCATTAATGGAGTCTAATGTGGCTATTATAAACCTAATAATAATTTTATATTACACTTCACACAGAAAATATGGTTTATGTATAATAAGAGGGTTATTTAGCTCAAATTAAATATTTTCTAACATAAAAATTTGTTCCATATAGAGAATTTTCAATGAAAAATAAAAAAATTGAACTTGCCAACAACAATGAAAATCAGTCATTATCATCCAAAATATCATAATCGTCATCATCATCACTGTCATCACCATTAATTGTTATTATGATTGGACTTATTTCGTTTATTTTATTTTCACGAGTCCACCAATCTTCTATTAGTTTCTCGCACTTGGATATACAGTTCCGCCACACTTCTGGAGTTGCAATTGAAAGTGCTTTTCGCCAAGTTTCCCGAACTGCGTCGTCACTATAACCATTAGGCCCAATATGGTTGTCATAATATTGTTTTGCTATTCCCCATATATATTTGATGGGATTAAACTGGAATTGATACGGTGGCAGACGTAAAACTTGATGACCGTAACTTTCAATAATCTGATCCACAACAAAGGTTTTTGGTTTTGCGTGTATATTTGCCAAGCGTAATAATTCTGATTTTAATATATACTAAGAAAATGGTATATGTTCCTTGTTCAACCATTATTTAATTTTATCAACAGTCCAATAATTTTTTGGACTTTTGTTTAATACTTCAGAATGGTAAGGTGCATTGTCTAAAATTATTACGCTGGGCTCACTTAAACCCAGAAGAGATTTTCATGCAACCATTTTACAAACATTTCTGTGTTATCGTGATAGTCACTGGATTTTGATTTAGATGAAAATATTAAATCAGTACCTTCTATAAAACCCTCTTGCATATAAAATTATATGTCGCTTCCCTTCTCCATCAGTATGTTTGATGGACTTTACGTTATTATCTTGCCATATTCTCTTGGTTCGTCTAAATATATAAAATTCGTCCGTTCTTCTTTAAATTTGGAACATTTTCTTAGAAAGTTAATTATCTGGTGCACGACAGAATTTCTTTCACAAAGGGCCTTTCTGTTATCCTCCTTTTGAAATTTGAATCCCAAATTATGTATCTCTTGCCACAGATTTGTTCTGCCAATGTCGTCAAATTTTCTATCTATTAATTCCGAGAGAATTGTATTTAAGGTCACATGTTCCTTATTGGCCCTCATTCGATAAATGGTATCACGAATTTCAAATTTCTTTCCATCTGGAATATCTTTCGTTTCCAATGATGGGCGAGTTTTGCGGTGATCTTCTTTCGGCAGTTCACTATTGTGATTTTGTAATACTCCTCTTAATTTGGTTTTCTTAATTTCTAGAGCATCGCATACGCGTTGTTGTACAGACATTACCGATTTTAAAGGACCGCTATTTTCTTTTTCATCCGTAAAATACTTATGTACACTACTAATTGGACTATCTACATCTAACACACGTCTAGGCATTTTTAAAATTTCCACTAAATTTACAATATACATACATACATACAATGTCAACACTTGCAAAGAATCAATTCAACTGCAATATTTGTAACAACCTACCCTACCCTAATGTTATTTTAATTTAAATTTAACCATTAGGGCAGTTTTACCTAATTTCTTGGGAAGAGGCTTATTGGAACTGGTTGTCAATGACTAATTTGCATAATTTTGTTAATCCGAAACCCGAATAAGTATAGCGGACAGACTGTAACACATGAGTTATTAAAGTAAAAGCCACAAGAACATTCTGTGCACAAAAGAATAAATAATGTTGAGAAACATGCAAGGTGCAGGATTGCAACGTATTTATACAAAAGACGCAAATTTTGCTCTACATCTGCGACAACTGGCAGCTCTTGCATTCTTACCCGAAGAAGATGTTGTTGTAACGTTTGAAGAGTTACTTGACAGCGAGTTTTACACGCAAAATGAAGATATGCTATTGCCATTTATAAATTATTTTGAAGATTTATGGATAAGCCGCTTAGATCGACGACACCAGAGGAGACAACCGCAAATTTCAAGAAATCTGTGGAATTGCTTTGAATTTATAGACGAAGATATGCATCGTACAAATAATTCTGTGAAGGGATGACACAACAGTTTCTCCTCTATATTAAATGCAGCACATCCAAATTTATGGAAATTTATCAATACGCTAAAAAAAGAGGAGAGTTTAAATTGTTTGAAAGTTGAGCAGTATATAGCTGAAAACGAACAGCAACGAAAATAATTTATAAAGATACGGCGAAACGAATAAAATCCATTTGTGAACAATATGGCAATCGTCCAAATTTGGAATATTTAAGGGGCATTGCTCATAACTTTCAATTTCAGAAATAAAACCCCAAATAATAAAAAAACGAAAATACAAAAAAAAAACAACAAAAACTAGAAAAAACTAAAAAAAAACTAAAAAAACTTCTAAACACGCCAGGTAATATTATCTGCCAGTCCTAAGCCTGGATAAAGTTTGATTTTCCAATGCTTATTGGTAATTATCTAAAGTAATAATAAACAAATCGTTTGTTTTTTTAATAAATAGGTATTAGAGACATACTTTAAAAGGTTACCTGCAATATAAAGATTTTCAAAACAAATCTATGAATACTAAATGTTACCAAACCCTTCTTATTACGATGCCCCCATTATAACACTTTAAAACCAATGATTGTTTTTTATTGGGACTAAGAGATAATAAAAGATAATAATAAATAATAGAAATATCAACATTGTTACGCGCTATTTTCCTACTCGCCTTTTTTTCGCGCGATCAATTGCTCGCGACCTTTTTTGGTCGGCGCTCTTTTTTCGCCGGCGACCTATTGACACGCGCCTATTTGTGCTCGACATTTTTTTGCGCGACCAAATATTCGCGACCTTTTTTCGTGACACCGTTCGCAGAAAACGTATACAAATACTTTAAATTACTTGTCTGATTTGGAAACTAAACAAATTCAATTTTTATATTCGAAGGTATGAAAAGTGGTTCATGTGCTGAGTTAGAAAAATTTTTAGAAAAAAGGCTTTTACATTTTGCTTGCCGACATTATGTATTTGAAATTATTCTCAGACATGTTTTCGAAGCTTCATGGCCAGTAACAACAGGACCCGAGGTCGGAATTTGAAACAGCTGTCAGCTTCAACTGACCAAAATAAATACTGCCACCTAGTGGACAGTTTATAAACCGTTTTAGGAACTAGTGAATCATCAAAAAGTACTCTGGGAACAACTTTTAAAAAATTTTTTTTTTATTTTTAGTGAAAAAAATTTCAGATCACAAACGACTTTATTTCATCTTCTAATTGAGATTATCAGACTTGATTACAAAAATTTGTAAAGTTTGAAAATCCAGCTATCTAAATATGCGATAGTTGTTTTTAAAAAATAAAAATTAATTGGTGTAATTTCAATTTGAATGTAAAAACGAAAATTTCCATGTTAAATGAATAGGAAATTAGAAACAAAGCAACCCCTTAGTGTTAAGCTATACAGTGCCTGCTTTGCAGAAAGATTTTTTTCTATCAATCACCAACATTTGGTAAAAGTTTAAAAAAAAATAAAAATTAGTTTTGCGTAAAATTCGAAAAAAAAATGATGGAAGTTTTCCCTATTTTTCCCTTCTTTCTTTTTCTCTACAGACTCAGAATAATTTTTTTCGATTAAAGGCGTGACCTTGTGAATCAATATATTTTCAAATGATTAAGAAACCAAAAAAGACAATTATTAAAAAAAAAATTACGAAATTTTTTGGGTACCCAATTTTGCTAGAAGAAATCAATTTATCAAAAAGATACCTTTTTTGTAG